CATTCGTGCACAACCAAGTGAACTGACTCGACCATGCCGCCACGCCACCACTCTCCACGGCAAATATTGCTAGCCGTGGTGCTTGGAAGCAGAATCAATACGGGGGCCTAGAATGCCCAGTGTTCAAGCGTGTCACGCCGAAGACGAGACACTAGACAGTACCCAGGTTGCATTTTCGCTCAAGCAGCATTTGTCATGAAGCGTGGAGGCTACTTTGGGCTGGCAAGCCACCTTTTTCCAGATTCTATCACGCCCCAGGCGAAACGGCGGCTGCGGCGCGAGCAAACGCCACAGCACGCCCTAGGAGAAACAGGGGGGCCCGCCATCCATCTTCCCTTTTCGAACAGCATCGGGAAAATCACGTGTAAGGCAGGCATTGCTGAAGCACAGTGGAGCGGTCATCAAAGCCCAAACGACACCAAGGCCCATGGCAGTTGAATCTCGGAGAGGCGCCTGAGGAATCTCCCCCCACTGACGCCTCGCCAGCCCACTTCCTGTTCTGATGAAGCCCTTGCGGGTTTCTCAAACGGCCCCACGCGTGATCAATGCCTTTTAGGATTTGCTTCGCCCACCACAAATCTCCCCATTGGGAATGCGCCCTAATGGCCTGTCCCTACTTACGTAGCGAGGTGGTGGGAGCCTGGTGGGATCCCCTGGAGACCAACATTCTGGCACAACTCGAGGCGAGTCCACCTTCTCGACATATAAACTGATAGCGGAAATTTGTTCGAGAGTCAAACCAGGAGCTACTGTACGAGGTAGAGCCGAGGGAGTTACGGCAACAGATGAACCGAATAACTAATCGAATCGAACATTCTGCACGGAGTACAGGTATCCAATCAAGAATGCGGGACTGGATTATGACAGACCAACAAGAGGGAGACTGACACCGAGACTGGCTACGGGCATTTAATGGCGTATGCACTTGTGTCGCCATCAACATCCCAGGCGAAACTCTCCAAGGGGCCATCCACCGAAAACAACTCCATCCTCCTTGTACAGGAACCGCCAATGACAGACTGATTTGACCGGAAGTGCCGTTGGCATCCCAACCAGCTTGGCGACTTGCTCAAGCATCTGACGTGTGCACTGTGAATGGACGTCTCCTCCCACAACGCCGGCCAAACATATAGGCAAAGTCTCCCTAACAGGTACAAGTTACGTTGAGTCAGCCTAAAACTTTGAGATTACTTCGCTTTTTTATTTTCGACTTTGGCAAAAAAAAGTCTACAACGCCCTTTTCTTGACAAGAACGCCATGCAATATAATTGCCTCGAAAGGGATCTGCTCGCTTTTCCTGTCTTTTCGCAGCTGCCTAGCCTTGGAACGAGTGACCCCCTTTGCGCACAGACGCTCCTCCCGGGAACCACGGATTGACTCGGGGATGGGCTCACAGAGCCAAAATAAAGTGCATTGGACCCTCAACAAAAGAGAACGGTTGAGGCGTGCCGCCTAATCCCTACACCATCCAATCAGTGGCCGTGCACCAAAGACCTTGGTCCAGTTCAAGGTACGTCTATCTTGCGAGGACACGTCATTGAAAGAAAAAAAGAAGCCTGAGGTGTTGGCTCTTCGTATGTCGGTCGTATTGTACCCAAGCGCTGGGAGAGACTCTCCAGGTGCTCACCTCGCGCCTCGAACGGTACGAAATGGCCCTGAATCGATTCCGAAACCCGAGTCCGAAGAGACCGAAGGGTGCCAAGGGGCCCATTGGCGCCGTGGACTGTTGTTCGGCCGGCGTAAAGCAGCGATGGATGACGATGAAAGAGGCCAAGTTGGTATGCATTTCCCGGGATGCCCCGGCTCCTCAAAGGGTGTAGGGCGCTCGGGCACACACAGCGTAGAGCTTCAGACCCTTCACAACTCTCTTTTTTCGATTCACGGATAGAAACTATCCTGGGCGTTTCCGTTGGGACCAATCTACTTAGCCCTCTCACAAGTTTTGCAACGTCCAAACCAACTTGTCCTGCATAATTGGCTCAACGAGGATGGTCCGGTGGCCTCGGCTCGAGGATTGTCCATCGATTCCGAATCACATAATGCACAAGGGCGATGCTTGGAAATGCTGGTCGGAAAAAGCAAGAGTCACTCGCACAGCAGAGACGGGACCCATTGGTTTCTCAACTCGTACCGAAGCCTGGTGTCTCCCTTAGCCCCTGCCAGCTCCAGCCATCAATGGGTGGCCAAGGCCAACAACCTCGTGAAGCTTGCGGATATTTTCTTCTTCCAGAAGAGAATCCGACGCGCCCTGGACCTGTCGCAGTTTCCCCGCGGCCGGCGAACCAGATCGTTTTCAGTCTCGTTGTGCTGATCCTCTCCTCGTTCTCGTACTCTGCTTTGGCAGCTGAACACGCCAACATCGTTTATGCACCAGCTGGATGGAGTCCGCGGTCTATGCCCAAACCAGCATGTTCAAGCCTTGGAAGTGCCACGGCATCGCCTGACCCGCCATGGTTTCCCCCGCCAAATAGGTTCAGCTCTGGGTAGGCTCCTCGTTTTGCTTGTGACGTCGTCTGCGAGGTGGAAACCTCTAGCTACAACGCGGAGTTGAAATTACATTCCAACACCTGGATAGCTGCACTGGCTCTGCTGCAAACGCGTCCGCCCCTAGCAATGCATTCCACAGTCCAAGTTAACCTGCAGCCAGACCGATGACTTCGCGATCGGCATCCACAACTAGATCATTCAGAAGTTTTATTATTTACCTGCAAACTTGCACGACAGCAGCAACGTCCCAAGGTAATGGTGGGTTAGAAATTGAAAGTTGAAAGGGGCCATTGGGTGGTATGCATCTCGATTGAACGGTTATTAAAAGATCAGGGTAGGACACCTATGACAGGCAGGCACTGGACAACACTTCCGGATGATCTGCCATCTTACTTCCGACGTTTACTGATCCTGCCGCTGCCTGTCATGCGAGCATTGCTGCGGTACCCGTCTCTGGGGAGCTACAGTGGGAATGACATCGACCATAAGCCCCCAAGCGTATTGCGGCTGAACAACCACTTGCCTCATTCTCCCATCGGATCCGAGATCGAATCCCAAAGCAGCATTTCGATCCCATGGCCCGAAATCGACCTGTTGTGCCCCCTGCAACCGACCCGGCTTGAGTTACATCATGAAATCGCTCTGTCTTTCTTCTGCATGTTGCCAAACATCGTGTCTGTATCGTTCAAAGCACGGGAACACTTGATTCTCGTTTATCGCGTTCCAGACGCGAAGTCACCGCCGTTTCCTTGGAGGCTTGTCAAATGAACCAAGGGATCTATCCTGCTGCCATGACAACCGAACCTTTACCTCTCGTGCCCTGGACCGGTATCCTTGATACTGAGTCGTTCGGTGCCATGCCGAGGGCTTGTGTTGCATTCTTTTTGTCCTCAAGGACCCAAGCAGACCTGCTTATGACTCCATGCCCGTCAAAGAGCCTTGGGCCTTTATGCTTACGTCTTCCTAGGGACTACGTGGATAGGTACGCAACCCTTTGTCAGCTCTACATTGGTTGGTGTTTTCGAGTCAAAGAAGGGGGCACTTTGACGAAAATTGCACCGAACCAACCTTTGGCATACGCGTAATCCAGCGGTGACCAGCCGACACGGGTAATTAATCCGCGTGGGAATTTTGTCAGAGAGTCGGGCAGGCTTGCCCTTACCCAGGAGACCGGGTCATTGGCGCCCCCTCGAGAATCTGCTACACATCTGATGAATTTGTGTGAATTCTGCTGGTTTCGTCCAAGGCAAGTACTGAGACCAGGGCGATGGGCCCCAAGGACAAATGACCGAGCGCGATGAAGGAGGACATCGAAGGGTGCCTCTTGCGCTCCGCCCACCGTCGACAGAGGCGCAGTTCTCGCTGTCCCACGACCAGCGTTGCGGGTCGATTCCAGGGACCGCTGTGTCCAATAAGCCAAAGAAAAATCGAGTGAAAAGGTCAGTGAGGAGGCGAGGCCTCCGGCTTCGGGCGTGAAGTGACTTGTTCTTCAGTCCTGAGGTCGCAGACCTCGCGCGAGCATTCAGGATTTGGCCGTCCTGTTCCAATTCCTCGCCCTTCCCTCTATCTATCTGCCTACCTCTTTCTTTCTTCCTCTAGTCTACCCCCCTCGTTTACGTGCTGCCTGCGATCAACCACGACTTTACTGCAGTGGCCTGAAGCTGAACATTCGCGTCCTTCGGGCCTGCGGACCGGACCCCCTTGAGCTATCTACCCCTTTCACGGCTCTGCTTTGATCATTGTCATTTACCTGAAGAGCCGGGGGAAACAGATCTCTGGCTGACCTCACCTGAGCTGATCTGATCTGGCTCGCACGCACGTCTTCCGTTTCTTGTCTGCCTTGTGAGATGGAGGCCTGTTCCTGCTACCCCTGGTGGTGGTGGCGGTAATGGTTGCAGCAGAAACTCGATGGAAAGTGAAGTGAGGTGAGACAGAGCGGAGAGAACTGAGTCGAAGACGAGCCCTGTTCCACACCCGCACTGTACCAAGAAGGAACTCGTGTGTATAGAGAAAAAGCGACAGGGAGGAATGGAGGGAGGAATGGAGGGAGGTATATAGGTCCACGGTATCTCACTACCACCAGCAATATATCCCTAGGCTTCGGAAGGCCTCGTGGGTGTTCATGTATGTGTCTGCCGGAAGTGACGGTTTTATCGTCCTTGTATACCCAGGTGCAAAACTACCTACCTACATATCTACCTTCTGATATACCCACCTTCGTAATTCCTCCTCTCTTACTTCCGACTTGTAGATCCAATGTACAGACTAGACCACCGACCACCGACCACGCTCGACTTCATGGCCGGCTGAGCAATATCGAGGACCTCCCCCTCTACCGGTGCCGACTCGAGATCACATTCTGGCGTCGAGCATGCGCAACTTCCTTGCGCGCTTCTTCCTCGTGCCCACATACACCTCCATCTCCATGCCCGTCTATGCCTGTCCATCCACATCCACGTCGTCACCCTCACCCTCGCCCTCACCCACATCTCTATCTATATTCCCTCCCAACCTCATTCATCCCCCCGACAAGGCCCCTCATGCACAACCATGTGCGGCGGCACCGCGGTGTCCCGGAACGGGATCTGCAGCGCCACCGTCTCGCCGTCGCCCGGGTAGAATGTTAAATGGCCCTTGGCGCGGGCGTCCGTGTCCGCGGCGATCAGGATCTGGTGCGGCGAGCCCGGCGTGATGGCTAGGGTTGTCCAGCCTTCGTCGTCTGGGGGTGGTTGTCGGTGCTGAGATTGTCGTTGTTCTTGGTGCTGCTGCTGTTGTAAGCCACGTCCATGGTCGTAGCCATAGTCACCATCGGAGCCGAAACCATCGGTGCCCGAAGAATCAGTAGCACCTTCGCCTCTATCATCACCACCACCAGCGTTGGGAACATAAACCTGCGCCACCCCGCTCAGCAGGACGAAAAACATGGGGTGCGGCGGCCGATGCCACCCCTCGGCGCCGCGCGGCGGGAGGACCACGTACGTGGCGTTGTCGACGGCGCCGAGCGCCAGCGCGTGCCCGACGGTCGGGTAGACGGTGAAGCCGGCGCTGAGGGCCCAGCACTGCACGCGAGCTAAGTACGGGGGGACAGGATGGTTCGTGAGCGCGGTCATGTGCAGGAGGGTCTTGGTCTTGTTCCAAGATGAAGACGAAGCTGAAGATATAGAGCTTGATTCAGCGCCGGGGAAGGCAGACGGGGTTCCATAAGTATGAGCGGCGGCGGCGCATGATAGTGAAAGGGCCCAGAGGAAAGAGAGGTAGATGGAGACGAGAAGATCGCAGCCAGCCTTCATGAGCCCTAGCCTAGCCTAGTCTTGAATCTCTGAGAGAGAGTCACAGACCACGAATGGATTGATACAAGGATGGCAGGGTTAGATCACGGGCCGGACGAACGTACAGAAGGCCCTGGTAGGAAATGAGTGAGAGAGAGGCAGGGAGAGACGAGGCTGAGATGTCCAGCGCCGCTTCATATAGAATCAAAATGCAAGTCAGTGGCCGGTTGGTTCGTCTGGGCTGTGTTGATGGGTACCGACAATGAGTAGATGATCCAACTTGGAGCTGGGGGGTTGAGCTTGACGATTGAGGGCCAGTGTCGTAAGGTTATTATGCTCCTTGGTCCTTGCTTCTCTGTCGGTCAAATGGATTTACACTTGCCCTGCTTCGATCCATCGAATTCAAACAAACAGTGCTATCCTACCAAGCAATGATATGATTGTCGAGAATACCCGAAATAGATCCTATTATGCATCGAGGCATCTAAAGAACTGTTAACTGACACATCAGATGGACAGTTATTCGACACCGCATCTCTATCATCAAACCTCCTCTATTTCCATAGGCCATATTGCCACTGTGTTTACAACACCGAATACCTCCCGCCCGTCCTCTCGGCTGCATCAGCCGCACTCATTGTGCCCTCCTTCAACAATCGCATCAACTCTCTCATGGCGTCGTGCACAACAACTTCGGTGTCACCCTCCACAAGAATGTACAACTTGGGATTCTCGCCTGGCCCAGGCTCTTTGCCCGCAGGATAAAAGGATCCCTTTGTGGTAATAGACGTGCCTGTCGCTTCCAGGATCTTGGCCACGTTCGTCCGGTTGGTGACGGCCCATCGTGCTTTTTCTGTAATTGACGGTTAGCACAAATCTGCTCAGATGACAGGAGGGTGTCAAACTTACGAGGAAAGTCATTGATCTCCAAAGTCGCGTGGAATGCTCCAGCGTCAGGGCCCTTGTTGTCAATAGGGACGCCGGAACGCATGACCCCTGCCTTGGAGAGTTTCTCATTGATCGCCCCCACTGCTGCCGCGACCTTGTCCATCTGGTTCTGCGGGCCAGTTTTGATCCCTGCAGGTTCACGCTCGGTCTTGTGGACGGTGATTTTGCCGTCCAGGTCGATACCCTTGGGCACACCGGCTTGACTCGCGCCCCCTTCAAACGCCTTGACACTTGAGGCGGCTTTGGCAAACAGGTCGTCACCGATTTTGACCTCTTTGCCATCTTCTTTCTCCTCTTGCTCGTCGCCTTCTTCGCCAGTCTTGAACGTCTTGCGTTCTCGAGCCTTGGCCGCATCTCGCTCTTGATCCAGGCGTTCAAGACCTTTGCCACCAAATCCAGATGCACCAGCTTTCTCTTTGCCGGCTTTAACCTTCTCCATGAAGGAGTCGACAAGTTTTTGGACAGCCTCGGGAACCGGTTGACCACTCTGCTTCAAAGCCTTGGCAATGTCGACAGCATACCTGTCTTGTTCTTGGGTGATAAAGGTCACCGCAGTCCCTTTATTGCCGGCCCGACCTGTGCGTCCAGCACGATGTACGTAGTCTTCCAAATGATTCGGCGCGTCGTAGTTAACCACCAGTTTCAACTGTTTCACGTCAAGACCACGGGCGGCAACAGAGGTCGCTATAAGGATGGGCACAACACCAGCCTTGAAGTCGTCAATTGTTGAATCCCGATCGATTTGATCCTTTCCACCATGTATTGACATGCATGGGTAACCTTTCTTCATCAAATCTCGAAGAAGCCCGTCAGCTGCCTCTTGCCGATCAACAAAAATGAGCACCCGATCGTCTTCATTCTTCTCGTCTTCGTACAGCTTGCCCAGCAGTTCAAGCAACCTGACAAACTTGGTGTTCTCCTCGCGGACTTCGACAATTTGAGTAATCTCTGGTGCAACAACACTGCGGCCACCAACGACAATCTCGACAGGCTTGGTAAGAGTTTTCCTTGCCAACGCTTCCATCTGGCGCGGAAAGGTCGCCGAGAAGAGGACGGTTTGGCGGTCCGGTCGAATGTTGGAGAGAATCTTCATAACTTGAGGCTCGAAACCCATGTCAAACATCCGGTCGGCCTCATCCAGCACCACATATGTGACACGTTTCAGGTTCGTCACCCGCCCGCTGTTGGCCGCAAGAAGATCAATCATTCTGCCGGGAGTACAGACGACGATTTCCGCGCCACGCTTCAAGTCGGCAATTTGGTCCTTGATGGGCGCTCCTCCATAGGCACAGACTGCTCTTAGGCCGAGAGCCTTGAGAAATGGCTTACACTCTTTGTGTATCTGTGTAGCAAGCTCTCGGGTTGGACTCAAGATGAGGCCGATTGGTCCATCCAGTGGCTCTAGAGGAGGTTGATCCTTGATATGTCGGAACATGGGAAGAAGAAAAGCAATGGTCTTTCCTGATCCAGTTTTCGCCACACCTATGACATCGCGACCAGACATAATAGCTGGAATGGCCTGAGCCTGGATGCTGGTCGGCGCTTCGTAGCCCAGTTTTTGAATGACTTCTAGAACTTGGACTCCCAGCCCACACTGCGCCCATTTTTGGACCGGCTTCGGAACATCTACCCCTCGGACTTTGATGTTGTCAAGCTCCATTCGTAAGTTTGCCACATCTTCTTCTGTCCAGTCAGCCATTTCCACCGGCTCTGAGTAAAAGTTGCGTCTGAATGGCTGATACTGTATTTTTGCGTGATTGACGGCCGGGATGTCCTTTTTCTTCTTTTTTGCAGTGGCACTGGCGAGTGACAGGATATTGTCGGGATGTTCATCATCTACCGCCGTCATGTCAACTTCGTCATCTCCAAAAAGCGCCTCCGGCTCTTGTTGGCGTGCCTTGGATTTCGTCTTCTGACCCAAGAACTTGGCGGTGTGGACAGGTTGCAAATCTTGCATGAATGCATCTAGCGGATCAACTTCTTCCTCTTCCTCCATTGTTGTAGTCGTGGGTACAAGAGCAGACGCGTCGGCCATGGCGGTATCTTCGCCTCGTTCTGCTTGGCTCCGCTGCTCTGCTGCTGCACGTGCGGCGGCCATGGCTTGGGCTTCTTCCTCTCCGTCTTCTTCCTGCATGTCGACATCATTATCACCATCGTCGACTCCATCCGGCTGAGCATCGTCAGCAATCGTATCTTGTTCCAAAGCTATATTGGGGAGCTTTTCGAGTTTCTTCTTGGTTTCCTCATCGTCTGCAAAATCTAGACCTTTCTTCGCCACCTCATTGTCCATTGTCGTTCTGTTGCCGAGTCCAAATTTGCCCACAGGCCCTGTCGCCTTTAGTGCTTTTGAAAGAGGGACACCAGTTGCGCTAGATTCTGGAGAAGCCTGTGAGCTCTTGACATGACCATTCGGCAAGGTCGGCGCAGCGACATCACCCCCAAGCACCTTGGCGGCCGTCGAGGCATGATGGGCCTTCTTCGCAATGGCCTTTGGATCGAACTTGCCGGCATACGGCGTTGAAACGGGTGAAGGCGAGCCAGGGGCCGCAGGGGACTGCGGAGAACTCACTGCGGGCAAGATGCCTGCTTTTCTGTCAATCTCCTGCAAGATACTCCTTGCTCCGCCTGCAGCCTCGAGCTCCTTCTGCTTCCTGGCTTGTTCTTCAGCTTGTTTCTTTTTCCACTGTTCTAATTTTGCGAGACGTGCCGCTTTCTGCTCTTCGGCCGTCTGTGGCGTGGGAGTGGATGGTTTCGACACCTGTCGAATGTTGATAAGCCCTATAAGATCCATAAGATTGGGGCAGGTACTTACCTCCTTCGAAACATTGCCGGATTCTCGCCTCGAACCGCGATCCCAGCTATCGTCACGCTTCCGTTTTCTAGATTCAGTAGACTCTTCTCTCAAGCGGCGATCCTTGTCGCGCGAGGCATCACGCTTTGAGCGGCCATCTCGTTCTCGGCTTCGGCGACGATCATCCCTATCTCGTGAACGCCGTCGCTCTCGTGACCTGTCTCTGTCTCTCTCTCTTTTGAAATAGGAGTAGTCATCGTCCTTTCGGCTATCATAGCGTCGGTCTAAGGAACGGTCTCGGCGACGGTAGGCATCACGATCTCTTTCCCTATCTCTATCTCTGTCGCGATCACGGTGGCGTCGCTGTTCCAAGAAATGGTAAGATTGGGTTGTCAGGAGATGGAATGGGGGAGCGGAGACATACATCAGGACTCCGAGATCTGGAGTGTTTCCTCCGATGAGCGCGGTCACGGTCATCGTCTCTTCGATTTCTCTCGTAACGATCCTCATCTCTTCGGCTGCGTTTTGACGAGGAATAAGAACTGCCTGCAGGTGATGGTGAGCGAGTGTCCCCGTGCCTAGCCATCCTGTGGCTGCAGATAAGTGAGCTTTACTGCTTGAACCGCAAATCGGGACCAGGCTCGAGATGGGCTGTCGGACTGTGGCAAAAGAGTGAACTCTGGGTTGAGCGATGGTACGGGGCCGGATGAGACCAGTGTTCTATATCGCGCCGTTTTTCATTGCAATGTCTGTGCACGAGGAGGTCGTTGCCTTGAAGGCTGCTCTGTCAAAACTTGAACCTCGTCTGTGGAGGGATGTCCCCGCATTTCCTTGGTATTATTACATAAGCACCAACTGTTGCACGTGACTGCACGTGACATGCTTCTCATTCTCCAGCGACAAGCTCAGCTTGCGTTGGGGCCAGGCACGCGTGGGTCAATCAAGGGAAGGCTAGGACGCTCTCCCCAGCCACCGCATACAAGAAGTCATTCCACTGTGGTTGATTTCAATCATACTTAGTACATTTTGGATGGCCACCTCCTTGCCCTGAATAGTTTGTCATTCTCTCGAGGGCCGTCATGACGGTCACATTCCCTTTCTCTCGGCCGCTGGCCAAACACCTGCTGGCCAGGTCTGCTCGATCTCTCACGCGACCTGTATCGGCCAATCATCTCCTGCGCGTAACCTGCAATTGCAGTTCAATTGACGACCCATCGAGCTCTCAATCCAAGGTTGGGAAGTTTGCACCACTCTCTCAACAAGCTAGAACATACGCGACAGC